GGCAGTGGAGGCCTAAAGTGAAAAGGTTTTATAAAACCCAGGTGAAGGCCTAGGACTGGGGCGAAGGCACACATGCCCATAGAGAGGCTCTGAGTGCTGCCTCTGGCACCCGTGCCATAGGTTCGCCACCACTGGTATAGTGGTTAAGAAAGAGGTCCCCAACCTATGGGCTGTGGCCCACTACCAGGCTGTGGCCTCTTGGCCACCAGGCCGTGTGAGTGGCTGGCCAGTGTGCGCATGCATGTGCTCGTGCTCACATCCCATTGCACCGACGCTAGCCTTGCTGTGGCGTTAGTAGCCCCATTTGTGGAGTGTGCATGCTCGCAGCACCATTTGTGACATGTGCATGCAGCCATATTTGCATATGTGCACATGCGTGCATAAAGGTGCTTGCCCCTCCCTTTCCCACCGGGCCACCAACATCCAGCTAAAAACCAGGAGACTATGATTTCTGGTCCTGCCTTAGGCACAAAACTACATGGGTGACTTTGGGCCAGTCATTCTCTCTCCGTCCTAGGAAGGAGACGATAGCAAATCACTTTTGAAAAACATTGCCAAGAAAATTACAGGGACTTGCTAGGCAGTCTCTGAGAATTAGAAACAATTGAATCAAAGGGGGGGGGGGAACCCTCATCAAGTGAAGAATTTTATCTGACTCTTAAAAGTCAGAACTGATTTACATTCTGATTAGATGTCATATTTTCAGTACATTTTGGACAAACAAAGGCATTTTGATAACAAAGGCTTACTGGGGTAAATAAGATGCTCTGAGTTTAAGTTTCTATCTGAAACTTGCAGTTACCGTATTTGTTTTTATAAAAGCATTACTTATATGCAAAAATAGATTTGTTTACCAGAAAAAGACTTTTATTGTATCTGTTTCAGAAACATAAAAATAAAGTTCCATTTATTTATTTAGGCAGCAAATACATTCTTAAAAATAAAGCATTTCCCATGACATCTTAAAGACAAGTCCTGTCATCCGTTAAATGAGAAACATTTTTATAGTTATTTCTGTCAAAATGAACTTTTCCCCATGTGACTGTATGCCAAAATCAATATGTTAATCTTCAGAATCTACTGGATTATATATAATTCTATATGGGATAAGTCTTTTTATGGCCTAATATTTCCATAGTTGTTCCAATTGGATATAACTGCATATTGGATTTTTGCCCTCCTTCTCATGATTACAGTATGGATATGCATATTGTATTAAAACAAAAGTGCTTAATCATGGTGATTGTTGTTTTCAATAAGTTACAATTGGTGGAGTATATATACTTCATACTAATTTCTAAATTACAGCCAAATGTCAAAGTTTACATATCACAGTGGTGGCGAACCTATGGCACAGGTGCCAGAGGCGGCACTCAGAGCCCTCTCTGTGGGCACGCATGCCATCGCCCAGTCCTAGGCCGTCAGCTGGGTTTTATAAAACCTTTTCCCTTTAGGCCTCCACTGCCGTGTGCCAAAAAAAATAAAAGTTTCAATCAATCAGTCAATTTCAACTTCTCGCGGAAAAAAAATCTTGCAAAATTGGAATTGATTGATTGAACTTTTTAGTTCTGTTATGTGCTCCTGGCTACTTTCCTTCGTGACCAGAGGCAAGCTCGCCTGACCAATAACCAGCCAAGACACAGTGAAAGCCTTTTGTTTCGTTTATTGCAATAAGTGGGGAGAGAAGCTTTCAAAGCTTAGTTCTCTCCAAAGTTTTAACCCAAAATATCTCCTTCTTTTATTCATCCCTATCACCGGCCGCTACAGCCCTCCTCTTTCCCCATTGGCTGAGGTAGTATGAGGTTACACTCTTTCCGTCCGCCTATACACATTTCCTGATAACATACTAAATCATATTCACATATACAATAAGAATAAGAAAAAATATTTTCTTATGGTTATTTTTAAACTCAGATATATTTATATCTCCATTTTACAATGTGCCTCTTTTTCTGTTCTCCATTCAACCTTCCTTTCTGGCTAGCCATTTCCTATAAAAAAACTATTTATCTATTTTATGACTTTCCTCTTCCTTTCTCAGACCCAGCTATTTTTACCTCTATGGTTATCTTACTTCCTTAATGTCTTCCTGACTCTCACCATCTGTATTTTTCTTACTCGTTTCCATTGTATTGTAGGTTTTAACTGTCTCTGAAGATTTATCATACTGATGTATATTTATCAGTTCCACCCAGTCTGCTGTTACCACCACAGCCACAACCACGCAATGGGCCACACCCATCTAATGGGCCACACCCACCCGGCACCCGATGATGCATAAGTGGGTTTTGGGTTGCAGTTTGGGCACTCGGTCTCTAAAAGGTTCGCCATCACTGACATATTTTAAACCAAAATCAAACAATCCGTATTATGAATCCAGAGATAGACAGTCTTTTTACAGTAATTACTTAAGGTTATTTCCCCATCACACTGCAGTGTCTCATAAAGACTTCTCAAGTTACTCAATCTTCACTGTGTTGAAATAACAATAGTAAGAGCAGGTGACACCAGATGTATTGTGAGTTTCTAGTAAATCTCTTACATTTTAACTTTAAGTCTCTACTCTAGGTTGCTAAAGTGAAGAAATCTGGAAATTGAAGTCCAGTCATCTTGAACTTGCCAAGTTTGAGAAACACTCATGTTATCTGTACAAAGCATCAAAGCCTGGTTGGAATTACCACCCAGACCTGCCCTCTTCCCACTGCTTCTTCTGCACTGCTTGCCTACTTCACAAAGTGGGTATTGGGCTCCTAATTCTACTTCATTGCAACTTATCAAATCATGAATATTTTTGTTCCAATTTTAATTGGCATACGTCTCCTGAGCTCTGCGCTCTACCAGTTCAATGAAGAATTTATTAAAGAGAGAATGGTATATGTGAAGCTGTATTCACATAACGTTTATGAAACCATATTCTTAAATAAATCATCAGCGTTGGCTGTATAACAGTTAACTCACTAATTGCGGTTTGCTAACTCCAACGGCTGGATTCATACCACCAATGTTACCCCTCCCTCTCCCCACAATCCCGTTCACGGCTTAACTAGGTAATTTTAGGTCTCTCACAATGGTATGTATGTCAGGATGAAGGGAGATTCTGATAGGATTGCTTCATACATTCAACGAACGGCCTCCCTGAAAGGGGTGAAAATAAAAACGGCAGTATTATTTGCTTTATTTTTATCTATTTGTTTGAAAAAGGCGTTAGCTGGATCTTTGCGCTATGAATGAATTTATGGAGAGGATATAAGACTGCTGGAGGAAAAGCAAGTTTCGCAGCCCTTTGGCCGCCTCGAGGTTTCCTGCTGGCTCCTCCTGAACGAGCTCGCTGTTCCTTGAGACAAGTTGCCTTTCAGCCGATCGGAGGCGCGGTCAGTGCGCTTCCCTGTTCCCAGTGGAGCGCCAAGGCAAGGCGGTTCTCCTCCCTCGCCAACCCAGGTGCTCGCTCTTCCGAGCTTAGCGAGGCGTCCGTTTTCTGAGCTTGGAGGGCTGGTAAGAGAGTGTAAACAAGACCCGCCTATTGGGACCGCTCCCTTTCCCGGGGCGCTAGAGGGCCCGAGCAGACTAAAGTTTATAAAGCGGAGAGAGCTGTTTTGCTCTTCACAGATAAAGCTCAGTAGTTGAAACGTGCAACGGATTTAAGTGAAGACTTTGGCTGGTCTGCTTGGTTTGACCGCTTGAAGCAGAAGCAGAGCGAGATGACACCGCCAGAGCTTTATCACAAAGAGTTTGTCCGGGCAGGCCAGAAGGTCGGGCTGCAGATCTGGCGGGTAGAGAAGATGGAACTGGTGCCGGTGCCCGAACCTTTGTACGGCGATTTCTACGTGGGCGACGCCTACCTGGTGCTGCACACCTTTAAGAAGAGCAACGCCACCTTCTACAATCTGCACTATTGGCTAGGTAGGGTGCTGGGCCACCCGCTGGGATGGGAGCAATTGATGGGGCAAAAACCAAAGCTTAGTTAAAATCATACTAAAACAAACTTAAATAAGCTTTCCTGAAATTAAAGCTGCCAGAGGGATCAAACTACATTTACCATCATATTCGATCAACTCTGACAGTAGTTTGTGCTTAGTAGGGATGAGCAGGGTAGCTTTCATTGCAGAGATATGGGGCTGAAAGGAGAAGATAAGTGTGATAGTCCAACATCTACTGGAAGAGGAGCTGAGTTTAAGAGTGTCCAATACAACTAAGAATATCCATTAGTTGGGGAGGGGTTATTATAGTCCCAAGACATCTGGAAACTTGCAGTATCAGGAACATACTTGAGGACACCCTGGTTTAATTGACTGTCTTTGATGATTGAAGTTAGTCTCAATTAGGAGGAATATATTTGCTGGAAAAGGAGCTATTGTTTCCAGTGGAGTTAGAGAAGAAAAATGAAATCTTTCAGCTTTTAGCTGAACAGAGCACAAAGAGCTTAAACTGGACTCAGCAGCCAGTTTAGGAATGCATGAATAAGTCTCTGTAGAAAGTACTCAGCTCACAAATTATTTTTCCCTGTTACTCCCCAGATGTTGTATGGCTATTTCAAGTTTGCTATCCAAATGTTATCCAACTTCACTCAGCTGATACAATTTAGTTACTGCATCTCCTTGCAGTATGTATAGCAAAGACTGTTACAGTTTGTTTTGATGGCATAGGCAGGCATAGTAAAGTTGATTCTGAAGAACAAAAGTTCTTTTTGTAAAAATTTATAAAAATGTTATAAAAAGTGGAAGTAATCTAGTGCAACCTTTCCCAGTTTAGAATTCTCCAGATATGTTTCAACTGTGGCTTTTATAATTCATAACAAAACTATTGGCTGTGAGTTCTGGGAATTGTGTTGCAACATGCCAAGTTGAGAAAGTTTGGACTAGATTGTAAAAAATAGGGATAGAAATTCAATTATTTGTACTCTGCATAGTGTACATGTGCACTAATGGTGATTCTATTGATATATGAAATGTCTAAAAATGTATGATATTCTCATAATGAAACTATATTTCTGAATAAAGTACCTGGCCTTGGCAAAATTGCATCTCTGCTAAAGCAACTGCATTTGCAGTCAATTAGCTCACGATCAGGTTCCAAGTTTTGCTTTTCCCATTTGAGTCCATAGTCAATTTGGAAGCAGGATATCTGGTAGTCCATCTGTTCTGCTCTGAGCAATCCTGTTGCATTAATGAAGATTTTCAGAGTGTCATCAAATAAGTTACTTGTAGGACCTTCTCTGTAATGGCATCTGCAATCATACTGTGACCTGGAATTTGTGAGGTTCCTACTTAAGGGAGACCAGTTAGCAAGATTAGGTATCTATAGATTTAGTGGACCAGTCGGTAAGAGAATATTTATACATTGCACAGTACATCACTATTTACTTGATTTACTTGATGGCTTCATTATGCAATTGGAGAAAATTTCATCATTTGCAGCACTTTATGTGATTTGCATACTGATGCCATTATTTAAATGACATAAGTATGTTTCTTGATTTATCTAAAACTTTTAATGCAACTTTTTTTCAACATTCAATATCAGTGTTTTCTGCATGTGATGGAAAACGATTCATGCTTAAATATATGAAACTTGCTAATGCTTCTGAGGTAAAGGTGAATTATCTAGATGTGCTTTGAATTAGATTTGGCTGGACAATCTTGTATTCACATGGGAATGCAAGTTTCACAAAAATTGGTGTTCAGTTCAGGAAGTGAATAGAATTCAACTTTACTTTCAAAGGAAAACAGTCTCTAAGAAAACAGAATTTGGACATTTCAGTTACACAAATAGTATAGCTATAAAGCAAAATTCAGACTTGTAATCCTAGTTTGGAAGACAAGAGCAATAATTTGTTACTGATAAATGATTTATCAACAAATTATTATCCCATAAAATAGACATCAAATGGGATATGTAACTCAGTTACCATTACATCAAACTGTAGATTGATTATTGTTAGTTTGAAAATGAAATCAAGCTATAGTTTTAAAGCAGCATGTCTGTTCCATTATTCACTTCTCTTAGTTTGTTGCATAAGTTTGTACAACAGTCTCACAAAACAAAAAAATAAAAATAATTATGTATTGATACTGTTGTACCTAACCAAAGTGAGCATATGAGTGGCAACCTCACTAACCTAACTAGCCTGTTTCTGATTGCAAACAGTAATTTGCCAATTCAGATTCAGTCCTTATGGTTTAGCATGATGGTATGAGCTGCGTCTAATTTGTAAAGTGAGGCAGTCTCTAATGTTTATTCATCAACCTGTTAACATATTAAATTAACCCATTTTCCATTTGGTTCAATGAGAAAGGAAGACTGTTTGATTTCTGTATATTTAGGAGAAATGGAACTCATTACAGTATTTTGGTATGATGAATAGTACAAATCTTTCTGAATTTTATCATTTTATAAATTATTAAAAGATAGCCAAAGATTATTACACTTTCTTGGAACCTTCCACTTAGCTTGGATGATGTCAAAAAGGAAAGCCACTGGAACAAGACCAGACTTAGATACCGGTAGATTAATAAATAAAAAAGAAATCCATTGCAGATGACTTCTTGATACTTTAGTTTGGCTAAGTGCTTTTTGGTAGTTTCCATTTAAAAAAATGAGCTTAGTTTTAAAAAAAGTGAAATTTCCTGACCCTAATCTGAAATATGACATTGGTGATGTCTTTGCTGTGAAGACAAACTTTCAGCTTAGTTTGGATATGCAGAACTAAAGCAATTTTTAGATGAGCATCCCCAACAGATGCAATTTCTTTTATTTTCAGAACCAAAGGGGGAAAATACTTAACTAAACAGTATCTATACAAAACAAAAAAATAATAAAAATACATAGATTTAATTATTTGAAAAATAAATGAAGGAAAATATAAAATGCTAGGAGTCTTTGACTTACAACCAGTTGCTTAATAACTTTCAAAGTTTCAATGAACCCCCAAAAGTTACTTATCACCCGATTTCATCCTTACAATGGCCCACCTTCCCATGGTTATGTGATCATATTTTGGCTGCTTGGCAATCAACTCACCTTTATGGTCATTTGCAGCATCCTGTGATCACATGAGCACAATTTTTGACATTTTTTGCCGATATCTGATCCAAAACTCCCATTGAATAAAATGGATTTGCTTAAGAACCATCACAAAAAAATGCTGAAAAATTGGATCTGATAGATGATGCCTCAACTTATAATCATAATGATTTATGACTGTAATTCTAGGCTCAATTATAGTTGTAAATCAAGGATTATCTGTAGAGAGTTGAAAATACATCTGTAACTAAGGAGAAAGCCAAAATTAGTCAGCAATATGGCTAGTGGGATAATTTTTTCAGGAAAAGCAATAATATATCTAATAAAATGTGTTCGTATCTGATTAAACTTGTTCTTTATTATAAGGTTTCTCAAATGCTTTTGTTGCTTAGATTTTTAATAAGGAAAAAATGCATACCTGTCACTGAATTTATTGTCATATCACCAGGATATTTTTCCTAATACTGTCTTACAACTTAAATCCACAAGTCTAGTCCTGTCTTGTAGCTCAGCATAAAATATACTATATCCTATTCTATATGATAGGCCTTCTGCTGTTTGAAGAATGGGGCTTTTTGACAGTTCTTCTCTGATTAAAACTTTCTAGAATTCCTGAGCGGGATCTACAGCTACTATTTCAGGATAGAAAGCAAGCAAATATTTTGTACACAAGAAGTTGCTTTGATAACCTTGTCTTGAGGTGAGGTGATGATGGCCACTGATTTAATTTTTTTTAAAGAAAATTTGGAAAAATTCACAGAAGATGGATCATTATTTTCTAGTCAGGGTGATTATTCAGAATCTGCAGCATCCTGGACTATTTGGCTTATAGCCAGCAGTGTAATTTAATTACTCAAAATTGTTCCTTCTCTGCTCCTCTAAGTAGAACCACCCTACACTTTCTTGTAGGTAAAGAATGTACTCAGGATGAAAGCACTGCAGCAGCCATCTTTACGGTTCAGCTGGATGATTATCTTGGAGGGAAACCTGTGCAGCACCGAGAAATCCAAGGTTATGAGTCCACACAATTCGTTGGATACTTTAAAGGAGGCATTAAGTATAAGGTATAGCGTAAAAATGAGAGGCTTTTTCAAGAATTGTTTACATTAAAATATCAGTGTAATATTAAATCTGAAATCAAAAGAGGTTGTAACCTTCCTATCCATTTTAAGTAATAGGCATAATTATTACCAAGCCTCTTTAGCTAAAGAAATATGAACTCAGTGAGAGAAGTCAGTTGATGAACTCTTAGATTAATGTACCTCCTTCAGTGTACCAGGAAGTTATTTCATGAACTATAGTTTCCTGACTATCAAGGATGATTGTTAATAAAGAAAATGATAGCATTTTTTTTATATAATTGTTACTGAGATTTTTTTGCAGAATTAAAAATTAAAAAAGGAAAAAATTAGGAAAAAGATAAAAGAAAAAGTAAAAAACAATAAAAGTCAGAAAAATGTTTGTATTGTTCCTTAATTAATTTTTTGAAGTCCTTAGAAACCTAAGCAACTATATTGCATAATTTCAGTTGAATAATAATATACCATCAGAGGAAGAAGTGATAAGAAAAATCCTGGACTGTGCTGAGATGGACAAATTAACAAAAGAGATAAAAGAAAAGGAAGACACAGAGTACTATATAACATGGAACAAGTGGTATGACTGGTTGGAGACTAGAAATAATAGAGGAGAATAAATATGGAAAGGTCAAAAGTGAAAATATGTGTATAATAATGTATAATAATAATAATAATATGAATTATTTTTAGTAAGAAGTAGAATATGAAGGAAGAAAAATGTAAATAAGAAACAACGGGGCAGTAAGGACAAATATTCTAAAGAAGAATAAGGGGGAAAATGTAAATAATAGATTACCATTACATAATCGCTGTTAAAAAAAGCAGGAGGAGTATATACTGTGTGTGTATGTGTATTATGTTTTGTTTCGCTTTGTTTTGTTTTGTTGGTTAAAAATAAAATAAAAGAAAAAAAGAAAAAAAATAATAGTGGTATCAGCCAAGCCTCAAATGTCTTTAAAATGTTAAGATAATATTTTAAAAGCCCAAAACCTAGGAAAAAACTGTGGAAAATGGCTCCTAACATTCCCTATCTGTTTGCATCATATGGCCCTGTTCAAGCTTCAAGCTTTGAAACCCTGCCTTGCTTACCAAGCTAGAGCCCAATTTTTAGAACTGATGGGGCCGAGGGGCCCTGCGCCAATGCTTGAGAAAGGCATTTCCCAGGGGCAGGGTTCACTGGTTGCCAGGGGCATTTGTAAAGGTAGCTTGTACAAACCCCTCTGGGTCACTTGCAGCTCTGCTGAGTGTTGCCTCCCTCAAGATTTAGAAGGAGTGAATGGGGCAGTGGAGCAAATAGGGGGGGCTCTCTGCCAGAGTTTTAAAGCTTGAAGCTGACTGGCCCAGGAGCTGGCCACAATGCCAGCCATCCTGCGTTGTCAAGGTTGCCTCCACCAGGTTGGTGGAGCTTGAGGGGCTGGTTGGGACAGAGCCTTCTTTTTCCCAGCCTTTTAGGAAGCTGCGGTGGCTGTGAAGTGATCCTCTTTTATCTCCCATTTCTGCTGAACTCACTGTCTGAAACTGTTCTTAGAAGGAGCTGTTATTGCTGATTAATATCTGAAAGTGGGAGAACTAAAGCAAATAGTTACGCTCCAAGCATATAGTGCATGCATAGTCTCCAAATTTAAATTTGTAGGAATGCGAACATGTTTTGTTATGATGTCTAATACATGCTGCTAAAGCCTGGGTTCTTTGATGTGTTTGTTGTTCCAGGCAGGTGGCATTGCTTCTGGTTTTAAGCATGTAATTACAAATGACCTAAGTGCTCAGAGACTCCTACATATCAAGGGTCGGAGAGTGGTTAGAGCTACAGAAGTTCCTTTTAGCTGGAAGAGTTTTAATAAAGGAGACTGCTTCATTGTAGATCTTGGAACGGTAAGTTATCACAGATCTCAAGTTTCCAAAACAAACAAGGGAAAGTTCTGCAGATATCATCTGATGAATAAGTTCAAACCAGAATGTCTTTTCTAACCTTACTCTAATTTGAATGCTTTTCCAGATGTACTGGGTAATAATTTTAATAATTCCCCTATACTGAAACATCTAAAAGCATCAGAGTGGGAAAAAGGTTTTATGAAATTTATATAATTTAAGGCTCAATATTAGGCATAAGAGGAGATTTACTACTATTAATTTATAGTTAAGTAGCTGTACAGGCTGCAAAAAGAAAATTTGCAGGAAATCCTGTTTCTTAGAAATCCTAAATTTGACAAATAAAATCTATATTTTATTTCTGTAACCCGTAACCTTAGCTTAAAAATGGGTATATATGTATATATTTCTCTCTGTGTATATGTTTTATTTTGTTTCGTATCTCAATAGAAAGCAGAAGTATTGAAGAACTAAATTCTATTCTCACAAGATTCAAATTTGGTATATCCTCAATTTAATTTCCTCCCACTATATGTGGTCAGGAGGTGTGATTCATAGCTAGAGAGTATCATGGAATGTGGGCCAAGTGTCATACACAGAATTATGAAAAATAGCCTTGCTGCAATTTTATTGCAAAAGGAAACAAAAATTACAGAAGTGAGATGTACAAAAGCAATGGGACGAGAATGAGTTACAAATACACCTGCCTATATTGTGGACATGAGTAGGCTTTAGATCACAAGTTAAATAAGAACCTGAAGTGATAAGCAGTTGATAAAAAGGTAAGTTAAATATTAGGATCCATTAATAGGAGCATAGAGTCCAAAGTATGGAAAGTAATTGTTTGACTCTATTTTATCCTTATTAGAGCCCACTTAAGTGTAGTATTTGGTTCTATGCATCACATTCATAAATTAATTCTGACAAATTGAAGCAAGTTTCAGTGACAACTGCCAAGAAACTGTGGAGTGTGGAAACCAAACTTTTGAGGAAAGATTAAAGAAATGCATATGTTTAATCAATAGTAGATGATTGAAGGGAGATGATAGGAGTCTTCGGATAAACAATCACATAAAGTTATAAGTTTTTCTTCCCCAGATTTCTTCAAATAGAAGGCAGATGATCATCTGTCAATGCATTCTATTTTCTGCAGGGGGTTGGATGAGGTGATGCCTATAGTCATTCCAGCTTTATGGTTTTATGATTCATGTCATTTAGAAGATTGTGGTCATCTTCTGGCAGGTAGACAAAGACAAGCATGTAAATGTAAAACATGATGTCTATAGACACAAAATGTTAACTGCTAGTGGCAAGAATATGGTAACATAGTTTTCGTTCATAGAGATTTGGGGAACACAGAAGTTTGTTATTCAAAAGAAACAGCCTATAACCAGTGGAATTTAAATGGGTCAAGACCAATTGCTAGGTGCTGTTGGTCAGTGCCAGGACAAGGAAAGCAGATAATGGAAAGAGTCTTGCTTTGGGACCTTGCTTTCTTCCCTTTTCTATTGCCTGTAGAAAACAAGAATATCCTTGCTGCCTTCCTTACTCTTTTTTTGTTATGCTAACTGGCAAACAACACATATACCAGCTTCCATGGAACCACATGGGCCCTATATGAAAAGTTTTTGATCCAGGCTGTCATGGAAATAATGTCTAAATGACTTTTGTTAACAGTGGAAAATCCCACTCTGAACAGGATGTTTCTCCAGAGTTCTGTGTGGCGAAAAGCAGAAGCTATTAATGGAAACCTTTAAACGTCTCATACAAGTGTAGCAATGATTTTTACTTCACATGTTCTAAAAAGCACTTCAGGACCTTGTCTTACCTTCTTTTTATTTAACCCTCTTTACTTTTACTATAGGAAAATTGAAAAAAAAAATGATAGTTTTCTTCTCAGTCCTTTACCATTATGATGTACTGTTTTCTTTTACAAAAAGGTTCTTTGCTAAAATGGAAAGAAAAATAAAACTCGTGTTTGTGTTTGCAATGTTGTGTTTACTGTGTGCAGAAAGTTCTTTCTAAATCTAGCTGTTCTATTTAGAAAAACCTATTTAATATTGTGCAGTGAGTCTTAAATGTGTGTATGTGTGTGTGTTTGTATGTGTGTGCCACAAGTTGCTGTTGAATTAGAATTTTTAATCAAGCAAAGGAAGAAATTGCTACATAAATGGTGATGATATTAACTATTTGAATCAATAAATCAATCAATTCAATTAAAATTAAACATTAATTGAATTAAATTACATGCCAAGCAATTATTCATGCAATATATATCTAGAACAAATCTTGAATATTTTCTAAAACAAAAATTTAAAGTTAATTTTCTATATCGTATTCTTTTATACTATTCACTGTATTAATATTTATAAATCCATATTGTAGCACAATTTTAATTTTTGTTCCTGTGTTTGGGATGTATTATGTGCAATAGAAATGCTGGAAATTCAAATATTCCATGATATGAGAAATACAAGTAATTCTGTAACTCTTTCTTAGCAAATGTACCCTAGTATTGGTAAATGAGAACATGCTATTTGCTTAACTGTTTGTACTATTCGTTACTAAATAGCATCCAAATAGGCTAATTAAAGTTCAAGTTATACTACAATGTTAATAGATTATCACATTTTCCCTTTGCTCTATTTCTGAAAGAAAGAGGAAACTTTTCTAAGTTACTTTTGGGTCAGTGGATCAGCCATAGCTCCAATTTTTGTGACTGAGTGACTGAATCATGCAGAATGAGTATACACCACATTTTCTTTTATGCCTTTAATGGAGGAGTAGGAGTTCTGAGTTTGCCTTTTAAAATCCTTGTTATAAGTCGTCTGAGTTATGAAATAGCTAAGACTAGTTTTTTTGTATGTTTCTCACCTCATTTTTTTTCATTAGATGTGAATAATTGGCAGAAATGATCCTTTGAGAATAAATTTTGCCTAGAACC